AGAACAATGCACAGAAAGAAATTACAAATCCGTATCAAAAATTGATTGACGTTTCACTGATGCACCTTGTTGCATGTAAATTGACTTTCACTGATTACTTACCAGGGAGGGGCTAGTTCTAGACATAGACTGGAAACTTGCTGTATTCGTATTCTGAGTATTTGTCATCGTCCCAACAGATGTTACAGCACCATACAAATTTCCAGATCCGAAGGGGTCAGAATTGTTTGTGCCATACCCTTCACCTGATACAGTAAATAGCATATAATCAAATATTCTGATGGGAAAACACAAGTGACAATGCATATGAAACTAGACAAGCAGAAAAAAGAGATAACGACTTTACCCTGAATTCCTGAACGCTGAAGGTTATCATAAGCCTGCTGTGAATTTCTGTTACTATTGGCGTACGATGTACCTGAATCAACACCTTTTGCATTCATCCCAACACCACCATTTATGGAGCTGTTAGACACATTGGACATTTTTTGTTGCATTCCAGGTCGAAGACCAACACCCATTTGACTTCCATTGTTGTGCACCATACGACTATTTTGACCACCAATATCCTGCCTCAGTTGCTGTTGTTGCTGCTGAGGCTGAGATACCATCATGGGCGCAGCAGAAAATCCACCACTATTGTTGGAAGAATCAACACTCAAGTAAGACTGGGCATTGTTGCTATTGTTATTAGTATTACTGTTGACAAATCCAGGGGTAGGCATCATCTGGCCAGTATTTCTTTGCGATCCCATTGATGACATGTTCCCTCCAGAACCAAGAGAAAAGTTACTTTGGTATCCATTAGACATGTTACCTGCAAACACAAGAAGAAGTAAATGTGTTCAGAGAAAATATGAGCATAAGATTTTCTGTCCGTATCTTATGTTTAAGTAGTAATGAACGAACCTCCGAGCATGCCACCAGAATTAATCAGGTTTCCAGTGTTCATTGCGTTATTTGTTATGTTATTACTTCCGGCCATCGTAGCATCGACAGAGGAAGTAACCATCAAATTCGGATTCCCGCCACTGTGTTGTAATCCTGGAGTGGGTATCATTGTTCCAACCGAAGAAGAATTAGCATGTCGTTGATTGTAGTTATTCAACTGTCTGCCTTTGATTAGGCTTGCCAACCGAGGTTCAAGGGTTGACTGGTTCATGTAATCTTCCTGTAATCCAAAATTGGATTTAGTGGCAATACTTCAGAAAATGAAATTTATGTTCTGAATACCTTTGTGTTAGCAACTTTAAATAGCCCCTCCTCTAAGCGTCTAGCAACATCCATATACTTGGCCTTTGATGCATCATCAGCTGGAGATGGTTGTTTCTGCTGTAATATGTTGAAACTGACAACAAGAGAAGTCGAAGGTGGTTAATTAGAGTAAATACGATGCGACAGCAATCCAAACTCGCAGAATAACAAGAACTGCAACTAGTGGGAAGACTTTGAAGGTCTACAGCTTGCAAGAACAAAATCAAGACTCACATCTTGACTCGCATGGCTTGTCGGAGTTTCAAGATGTCATTGTCGATGGGAACACGGGACGGTCCTAAACCAGCACCAGCAGAAGCAGTACCACCACCAACTAAATTCTGCATTTGAGAGTTACCATTCTGCTGCGACATGGTTCCTTGGTTTGGAACCTGCCCAGATATCTGTCCCGACATGTGAGCTTGAATATTCATGTTTTTTTTTTAACTCTTAAGTCTTCGTCGCCTTGTCCTAATTCTTCTCGTAACTAACAGTAACAAGCACTGCATAACTTTCCACTCCTCCAGAAGTCACAACATCCAAATTTCATTTCCTGATTAAGCAACGTTGAATGTCCTGCTTGTAAATCAGAGAAGAAACTGAAATTGAAACACAATCATAGTATCAACAAACTAGTGAAGCAATTAAAACCCCCCAAGTAACAAAGTTAATTAAGGAAATAACAGAATTGAACAAAAATCAAAAACCCTAAAAAATTCAAACCACAAACCTTTGAATTGATACACAAAGGAGCAATCTTGTGCAACGAAGAGCAGAACCCAGAAAGAAATTCGCAGACACAAAGTGATTAAACGATGATTTGACTGTGCGAAACGGAAACAAAAGTCGGTGAACAGAACCAGAACCGATGCGGCACGTGTGAACTCAATCAAAGCAAGGTTTGGAAATTAGGATCAAAAGCTGGTAAAGACAAATCCGAGAAAGAAGATTTGAGAGATGAATAGAGCTTTTTCTAAATCGGGGGGATTTTTCTGGGCTTAGAGGCTCGTCGAATTGGGGATTTTTCGTTGAAGACTCACTCGATTTGGGGATTTTGTTTTTTTCTTATTCTTTCCTTTCTAGGGATTCGTTGTTTTTCTAAAATAGTAACCAAAAAAAAAAAAAATACTACACATTAAAATATTAATTTTGTTGTCTGAATACGATAATTGGCGCAACCAAAAGGCGAAAAAATGAAAAAGTTCGCGCAGCGAAATGTTAGATCGGACAGTTTTAAGTATGTTCCTGTCCGTCCGATCAAACTTTTCTTTATTTACAATTTTACCCCTTGTTTTGACCAGGAATAAATTGCTCGCTGTTCTTCCAAACCAAACACTTAACCGGAACTCATTAACCGAAATTCAAAACTCAGGTCGGTACAACAAACAATTCAATTACACAGCACAAAGCAGGATTACAAAGGAGTTTTTCAGATGCATATCATCTCATCTTTATTCTAACAGAAGAAATGAAAACGTTTTTCTTTTCCCGGGTAAAAAACTCGAAGCAAAGATTGCTGTAGAATGTTTTCAACGGTAGAGACTCTCTGATCTCAGATTCTCGGCGATCTCTGTCTCCCATCGATCTCCGTTCTCAAGAAGCTTCTCTTTGTCGTAGAGAAGTTCCTACGAAAGGGAACATAACAGAAGTTTATTATGCATGCATTGCGCGACAAAATTATTAGGTTTTACAAAAGATTTTATTAACAGACCTCGTGTGTTTCGGTTGCGAATTCAAAGTTAGGTCCTTCGACGATTGCATCAACCGGGCAAGCTTCTTGACAGAAACCACAGTAAATGCATTTTGTCATGTCGATATCGTACCTGTAGAGCTTTAAATCATCACGAAAGGGTAAAAAAGAAAGCATATGGTTAATATATGGGAACTAAAGGGATGATGATGATGACCTAGTGGTTCTACGGCTTCCATCTTCTCGCTCCTCTGCCTCTATTGTGATTGCTTGAGCTGGACATACCTGATAAAATAGACAAGTACATCTCACAAAAATCACAATCCGAGGTAAACATTTCTCCCATAGACATCTAACATACAATATGATCTCTACACATTAAACAGATTATTGTCAGCGGATATGATCATTTCATCAGAACTCTAGCAACTCAATAGTCAAATAATTTTCCTAATTGCTAGGATCAATTCCGTAGGCATCAGCCTATGATCCTGAGCTATGGCCCGTATCAGCAGAATCGGTTTTCCACAGCACAATGAGTTAACAACCTTGTTTAATGGATACAGAAGTAACAAGTGCTACGACAACAAAGAGAACATTCAATTAAGCTTCGGATATATCTCAAGACTCACAGCTTCACAGAGTTTGCAGGCAATGCAGCGCTCTTCCCCAGTGGGATATCTTCGAAGAGCATGTTCACCACGGAAGCGAGGGCTCAGTGGACCCTTCTCAAACGGATAATTGATCTGCATACAAGATAAAAGCTTCAGAATCATACATATTTCTTTCAACCTAAGTTCTCAAGACTGGGAAGAACGTCACTCACAGTAACTTTGGGATCAAAGAAGTACTTGAGGGTCAGCGACAAACCACGGACCATTTCAGTCAGAAATAGAGTGTTTATGCTCCGTTCAAAGACTGCAAAAATCCATAAGATTCCGGGGAGAAAACGGCGAGGAATAGAAAAGTATGACAAAAGAAGAAAGGAAAATGAGTTTCTAGATCATATAGCTTACCAGTGTTCCAGTCTTTGGAGATTTCCTTAGCAAGTTGTTCCGCTTCTTCATCCTCTGAATATTATAAAGGCAAACCACAAGTCATATACGCATCAGAAAAACGGTGAAGACCACAATCTAAATGTTGCCCATCAACCTGATTCACCAAGAAACCCCCAAACAAGAGCAGAAAACATACCTTTCTTGGTCCCATAAGAAATACCACGAGACTGCAACCCAGAAAGATAAGATCCCTGCAAAGCTTGCCCTGACAAAACCTATCGACGAAAAGATATATCCATAAGCATACACACCATAAGAAGCTAACCAAAGAATTAACGATTCACAAGAAGAAACATTAAGTAGCAGTCAGAGAAGCTCTCAATCAAAAGGAAAAAAGATTATAGAGACTTGGCATGTTCCGTATCGAACCATAAGCAAAACGAAGCCCTCAAGATTAAATCATGATAAACAAAACAAAATCTCTCTTTTGCTACATGATTCATCGACTAAACATATAAATTTCACTCCTACAATCTAGATTTACGACAATCCCGGAAAAGCTTCACACTAAATCAGACAGTTTCGATCGAGATACAATCCCGAGACAGCTTCACAAGAAGAAACATCAACTAGCAGAGAAGCTCTCAATCAAAAGGAATAAAGATTATAGAGACATGTCATGTTCCTTAGAAGAAGAGTATCGAACCATGAGCAAAACGAAGCCCTCACGATTAAATCATGATAAACAAACAAAATCTCCCTTTTGCCTCATGATTCATCGACTAAACAGATAAATTTCACTCCTTCAAATTCCGCTCTCACTCTACAATCTAGATTTACGAAAAATCCCGGAAAAGCTTCACACTAAATCAGACCATTTCGTTCCAGTTTCGATCGAGATACAAACCCGAAACCCATCAAGACAAAACGAAAGACAGAGAGTGAATAGAAGAATCCTCTTAGATTCCATAACTCCTGGAAAAATTCCACATTTCTAAACATCCAAACAAACCGAAATAAACGACACAAAACCGAATAACACAAGAGAGAACGAGATTTCATACGAGATGTCGAGCACGGACAGTGTTCAGTGACCTGCGAGCCAACATCAAAGCCATTGTTGAAGCAAAACCCAAAATCGATTTAGGATCGTTTCGTTCTTCACGGAGATTGACGAGAGAAAAAAGATGAAATTTTTCCCGATTAAAATCAATAAAGAGCCCTAAAATCCTAAATTGTCCCGAATTTTACGATATTATTACGATTTAGTCCTTGGCACATTGGTTATTCAGAACCGGCGATATAACCGGATTTATAAACTAACCGAATTAGTGAATCCTTTAACAAGCAGAAAATACACAATAAAGAGTTACAAAGTGCTAAACTTTTTTAGCAGAGAATAAGAGATTGCATACATTTCTTCAAGAAAATTCTTTACAAAAGAAAGATTGTGAAATATTTCGATTGAAATTTGGTAGATCAGTGTTTCGGCGCAATGTAGAAAGAGTTTCCGCAATTAATGTGAGACTGCATTAAAGGATTCCATCTATCGAAAATTATCCGGCCACCACGCCCAATCCTCCCCTGAAACCGACTTGGAGGTTGACCAGACGATGAGTCCGGTGCTGGAGGAATGATCCCTGCAGCTGCTAGTTTCTCGGGAACCAGCGGTTTTGTGAACAGCATGACCGGTTCATTAGGATCCTAAGGAGATCGAACAAACAAAACAGGTTGCCTAAGGAGATCAATTATACTAGTAACTAAAGAGAGAATGTGTTGTGAGAGAAGGTTTAACCAGTCTGTGAAGCCATCCTTGATTCGAGTGTCGTCTTCTAACTTCTTGTTTGATGCCTCCAGGGTGAGATGCATTCAGATTTGAGTTGGTGAAACGAGGATTAGGGATAATGGAAGGTCTTGTGCGGACACGGGTGCTAGTGTGGTCATCCGAGTCCATGAACTCCTCGTCGCTTGAACCAAATCTGTAAGATGTTGTACTTGGTGGAAATCCAGGCAGAGCCAAGCTATCTTCCAAGAGCTCTGTTTCATGCTGCAAAACCAAAGATGGAGTTTCTGAGATTCAATAAAATTTATCAAAAGACAGCATTTTTAACACAGAGTTAAAGAGGAAGTAGTAGTAAGTACCCTGTATTGGAGTTGCATTCTCTGAAGGCTAACCTCACTGTCCATGACATCCCTCTTCTTTTCTTCTCTCTAACGAAATGGGTAACATCGAATTAGCAACTTTGGAGAATGCAATCGTTTTGTTAAGATACGAAATAAAGTTACATACGAGTCATATAAACTTTAAACTGTCATAAAGAACACCTTAATGAGAGCCTCCAGAATGGTCTTCGCTTGGTCAAGATTGCGTCTAACCTGATAATAATATATCCAGAATTCAGAATCCAACAGAAAATCATAAAAGATCCCCAGCAGGTGATTAATATCCCAGAAAGAAACTAAAAGAAGGAATTGTAAAGGCAAATTGCTGAGATTTAAGGAAATTAAATCTGGTTCGAGCAAAGAAATGTAAAGATATTCAGGTGCATCGCTCACCTGCCGAAGCTTTTCAAATGACTGCACATTGTTTTCTCTCCTCTGCATCTGTGATAGAAGTAAAGCCTTATCAGTGTTTTTTCTTTCGCTAGTTGAATTTAACTTAAAAAGTATCACCATAACAGCTTACCCTTCTTGTGTGGAGTCTATGAACTTTCTCCCTTGGCCTAAACACATTGTAGGGATTGGTGTCATTGACAGGTGGAGGAGGCTGTTCCAAGCAGAAAGAAGCACAACATTAACTAAATAACCGAGGTAAGATGTTTTTTCAACATAGGCCTTGATTGTTTCAAACCAAGGCACAAACCTGTAAACGCCGCAGGATAGGCTTCTGCCATCTTTTGCGCTAAGTTCACATAAAAATAAAATGCATTAGTACTATATGCCAAACGTGCTCCAGATGTCTAACTGGTTTGCCATCAAAAGGATTATGCAAATGCTTCAAGAGCCCAAAGATATGTAGAACAATGTTTATCTCATGCAGTCAAAAAGTATATGTTAAGTATTATCAACCTATGCAACATATCTGTATCCAGAAAACTCGTAATAATCAGACGATGCTACATAAGGTTAATATCAAACCTTGTCTTTCCAGTAGTTGAAGATAGCCTGGAAGACACCATAATTAATGGACAATGATTGCAGCGCCTGTAATAAAAAGACAACAAGAATCATTTAAATGTGATGTACTAATTCTTAATTCTTAATAATTATAGGCTACAAGAACAAGATAAATGATAAATCCGAAACACTATGGAACACAATAAAAGTAAAGGTATACATCAATAGCAGCATCAAGCTGCAAAAGCACAGGAACCGGAGAACCAAGGGTAGGTGTAATAACTCCAGCTCTTTCCCGAGTCTTGTGATCCAACACCTCTAGCTTAAAAATAATGCTCTCAAGCCTGTACCAACAAGTTTATGTTGCTCATCAAAATGAATGATCCTTCTTTCGGTATCTGCTTGACTAATGATTTGGTTTTAGCACTTTTAAAAGAAATCCAATCAACTAGAGTATACAGAGCAAACTCATCCATCTAAGAAATGACAGTATACAGAATACGATAGTTGGATTTGGTTACTTTACTTTTCAGGTGAAAGTTCCTTGTTATCCTTATCAAACTCATAAAGCCAGTCATCATCCTCATTGTCAAGATCATACTCCACAAACTCTCCAAGCTCAGACCGAGCTGCACAAAAGACAGACTTATAGCCTCCATTGGGAAACGAGAACTACGAAACCAAATCAGAGATAACTTAATTGGTACCTCCTCTTGCGCGTAGATAAGAAGTAGGTTGACCAAAAGTCGGCGAATAATCCCTTTCATATGTATCCACAATAACAAACTGAGGTGTTGGTATTTCCGAAACAAATTTCTTGCTTGGAACTGGATGCACCTGATTACAACAACAATGACCAAACATAAACCAAAAATGCATAAACAAGACTTTAAACAAACACTAATGATTTGTGAGAAATGATGGAAACACTAACCTCATTATCAACCTCTGAAGAAGCTATACGAAGCAACTGAGAATTTCTAGTAGTGGAAGTTGGTGTTTCGTCATCTTCAAAGTCTTTAAACGATTTCAGAATCGGAAGCTTCTTGTGAATGTCTAATGGTCGTGGACGAAATGAGAGCCTACTCATTTCACCTTCTTCCCCACTAAATTCTACTTACAGGTGTGTGTATATACATATATGTTGCTCCAATAAGACAGGAATCTATTCAAAAATCTCAGTGTCCTAAAAACGTTTACACGAACAGAGACAACGAAATTAATAGGTTTATGAAACAAAACAGTAAAGCAATCGAATTAGGGTTAGGGTTTATGTGTTTGAATCTGGCTGGATGTCTCGAGAGAAAAATAAATCAAATTTCAATACCCAAAATTTCCTAAC